AGTTAATGTGATGGCAGCACACTGACAGTGAGGAAGTGGACATGACTGATCGGAAAAACCAGACTGTATCTAATGTAACAATAAAATTCATCAAAATGATACTTAAAAGGCTACATTAGCATTCAAAGCAAAAATCTACCAAAATGCACAGTTGACAATTCAACTCTAATTCACCAGCACAGCACTAACTCTACACACTCATGCAGACTCTTAAAGCCTCTTTGACAAGCACGATACTACATATAAACAATGTGGGTAAATGTTTATTGCTGTAAGATGATTAGCTTTTTCATTCCTAGAAGGATATCTTCTTTTTCCTGCATAGTACCTTAACTTCTCATTATTGTTGAGGTTTGCACTACTGATGTTTTTTTTTAATTCAAAATGAAATTGGAAGTTGCATTCACTTACATCTTTCAACCCCCCATATAATATCTTCACACCTACATAAAGTTACTTATATAAAGGTGAGTTCGTCATCAAAGGTAATTGAAATTTGCAGGGATATTAGATTCATACCAGAGACAATTTCATACCCAATAAACCTGGCTATTTATCCCAAGTTTTCTAAGTTACACTATGAATCAAAAGAAGATATTTTAAATGGCTCATGTATAAACTGTGATATTGAAGAAATTATTCCTCCATATCTCAGTTTTCCAATTCACAAATTGGGTTAATGTCTCCAAATCATACTACTACATTTTGAGTAAAAACAACAGATGATGACGTAAAAATCATAAATTTTCATATGACATCAAAATTACAAACATCTTTATTTATGTCCAGTCATGAAAGGAGTTCATATTTTGCTATTTAAATTCTTGACTAAGGAATAGCATAGGTGGTTAGCAGCTCCTCTGCCTTTTTTCAGGAAATGATCTTGCATAATGTCTTTCACAAAGACATATTCAATGTACTTGTGCAGAATGGGGGATGGAAATACTTTCTGTGTCATGAAATGCAGTCCTCTTAGTCTCTGCCTTGGCTCTTGACCACTACAATCCATTGTCTACATAACAAACTTTCATAAGGCATGAATCAGTTTATGTATTCTTGCTTTACAAACACTCCTACAATTTTTTCATTGTGGCTGGAATAAAAGTTGAAGTCTTATGCATGGCCTCTCAAAGTCCTGCCAGATTTGGCTCTTCGTTCCATTCTCATTTTGAGTCTTCTCTCTAGCTTACTCTTTTCAAGCCATAAGGGTCAGTTTTCTGTAATGTAGGCTTGTCAACAAGCCCTTGCCTCCCTTTGGGCATTAGCATATTCTTTGTCCTGTGCCTAACACCCTTTCTACTTTTTCAGTGGCCAGCTTCTTCTATACCTCTCAATTTAAACATAGTCTCACTGTAAGCATTAACTCTTCAGAGAAGAATTTCCTAACCATTTAAAATAAGTCCATCATGCTTACCAAGATGATTCTATTGCAATTCATATATTTATATGCCCCACCATGCTTATCATAATTATAGTTCTGATATTTAGTTGACCAGTTTTTTTTTTTTTTTTAATATCTTAAACAAGAGAAATTCCCCCACAGGGAAGAAACTTGGCTGTCTTATGCATCAATATATCCCAGCAGTTACCCCAATCCTAGCCCACATGTGTCTAGTAGACATTCAATATATGTTCTTTTACGAATAAATACTGCATGAATACAATGTGTTAGTTTCTTTCATATTGCTATTCAAAAAAAAGGCAATTTGTATGGTATTAAATTATAAAAAAGTAGTAAGAAAAATAAACTATTTGAGCCACTCAGAGTATAGGCAGGTAAAACTTTATCAAGAACCTCTCTAACCAAACATGTCTATCTGAACAAGTATTGAGCAGCTGTAACTTCTGTGTGGTTTTGGATTTTTGGTTTTATTGCTTATTTTCTAATTCTTCTATTATCTCCTCCCTCCTATTTCCTTTCAAAGTCTCTTTCTGGGGAGCACATGTACCCTCAGACAGTTAAAAAAAAAAAAAGAAATGGGACCGGCAGATGGTATATTGGTTATGTCACTGGACTCCCACATGGGCGACCATGGTTCAAGTCCGAATCTGGCAGTTTGAAACTCACTCCAGGAGTGTGTGTGTGCATGTCCAAAATCCCAAGAGGTGAATAGAGTAGAAGGATTACAACATGGCTATACTCCCTGGTGGGTGATATCTCATTTTCTGTCTCTCTGGCAAGCACACATGCCCTATAGCAAAAATTTCTTGAAAAAAAACATTGGAAATTGTACTTTGCTAAAACATAAATGAAAATTGGAGGACATCATACTAAGCAAGATGAGCCAAATACAAAAAGATAAATACATATATTCTGCTTACATATAGAATGTAAAACCATGCAACTCTTGGAAATAGAGTATAATTACCAGGTAACCAGTCTGAGGTATGGGAAGATGATAATTCAAGGCACAACATCTCAAACACCAGGAATTGTTTTTAAGATATATCGACAAGGTAGTGAACATAGTTAATAACAGAGTGCTATACTTTTCAAAATTAATAAAGAGAATTCATTTCAAATATTCCTATCACAATAATATTAAGTATTTGAAGTGAGAGATATGTGGATTAGTTTGATTTAATTATTCTACATCGTCTTCGTAAATCATCACATCACTTTCTACCCCATGAATTTAGACAACTATAAAGTGTTTATACAAAATTTTTCAAAAATTAAAACTTGAGACAATCTTAGAAGCATTTCCCTGCCTTAGGATAGAAAGCTGAAAGAAAGGAAACTAGGGCCAGCCATGTGCAATCTCTAGATTATCCGAGTCATTAGCACAGAACTGTGCTGTAACATCTGTGTCATCTGCTTTATGTTATACATGGAGACAGAGGATCAGATAGGGTACATGATCTTCCAGAAATTAAAGATAGCAAATACTGATAAAAGTCACAAAGTAAACAGACTTCTCTATCTCCAACACCTTTTTTTTTTGGGGGGGGAGAGGTTTTTGCTATAGGGTGCATGCGCTCACCAGAAAGACAGAGAGATAGAAAGCGAGAAATCACTGCTCAGGGGGAATGGCCATGCCACAATCCCTTCTCCTCCATTCTCCTCTTGGGACGTTTGGCACGCACGCTAACGTGCCCAGCGTGAGTTTAAGCCACTGGGTCCGAAACTTGAACTATGGTTGACCACATGGGAGTCCAGTGACATATCCATTACGCCAACTGCTGATCCCAAATACCTTATTTTTAATACTGACAGAAAATTATCTTCAGATGGTTTTCACTTCTTCCTTGGTATTATTTCTTTGGTATTTGGTGTTTGGTTTTCTGGGTTTTGTTGTTGTTGTTGTTGTTGTTGTTTCATGTTGTTTTGTTTTGTTTGCCTCGAAAGATATGTCTTTAAATTACTTGCAGAATTTTCCAGAGTCAAACTTTGACATCGTTGACTTGATTTAAAGGGCTCTGGGACCTTTGCTGCCATTCTAGTTTCTGCTGCAGGACTGGAGGAGAAAGTAGTCACTGGGACTTTCACAAGAAGCAAATTGCACATGGATTAAGGACTCTGGTTCCTGAGTCCAACATATTGCAATTTTAACCATAACCACTGGTAGCTGTATCCTTGAACAGAAACTGTTAACCATATTAATTTTCTATTGCTGTCAGAACAAATTACCATAAATATAGTGGTTTAAAACAACATGGACTTTTTATGTTATAAGTCTGGTCAGAAGTCTGACAGATCTCATTGAGCAAAAATCAAGGTGTTTTCAGGGCTGTGTTCCTTTCTGATGGCTCTAAAAATCTAGTACCTCTCCAGATATTAGAGGTTCCCTGAATTCCTTGCCTAATGGCCCCATTTCTTTGTCTTCAAAGCCAGCACACTGCATCTCTCTGGACTTTTGTCCATCATCCCATCTATATCTCTGAGTATAGAAAGGAAGATTCTCCTTTAAAGGACTCATATGGTTTGGTTGATCCTCTATCCCACAGGATAATTTCCCCATCTCAAACATTTTAACCTTAATCATATGTGCAAAGTCCCCTTTGACAGGAAGAATAACCTGTTCTTAAATTCTAGAGATCAAGATGTGGGATTCTTTGAAGTGTCCATTACTCTGAATGCCACAGTAATCTTTCTGAGTCTCATTTCTCCTGCCTGATAACAGACAGAATAGTAGTTCTTACATTATAGGGTTGTGAAGATAAAACGTGAGTATATACACTAAGTTGTTGGCTTAGCATCTGACATATCATTAACACCCTAAAAAGGTTAACTGTTATCACAAATAATAACGTGATTCTGTTGTCCCCACTCACTTCTAGTAAAATCCACTTTCTGCTACCATATCATGGTTAGGATTATTGATTTCAAGCCCTCCTTTACTCTGGATTCTTCTCAGTATTTCTCAGTGGACAACATTTTCTGTTTCTGTATGTTAACCTGAAAACAGTCCTCCCCAATCTTTTCAACACCAGGGGCTGGTTTTGTAGCAACAACTTTTTCCATGTGCAGAGTGTGGGGACATGGTTTACGTGTATTACATTTATTATACACTTTACTTCTATGATTATTACTTTGTCACGTATAGTGAAATAATTTTAAAACTCAACATAATGCAGAATCAGTGGAAGCCCTGAGCTTGTTTTCCTGCAACTAGGTGGACCCATCTGGGGGCTCCTATGAGACTCTAACGCCCTGTTGATCAGACAGGAGGCAGGGCTCAGGTGGTGATGGGAGAGATGGGGAGCAGCTACAAATACAGATGAAGCATCCCTACTGCTCGAGTACTCACCTCCTGCTGTGTGATACTGGTATGGGGCCTGGGGGATGGGCTCCCCTGCCTCAAATCTTTCATAAGCATTTGTCTCCCTTTTAAACAAGGAGAAGAGGTAACATCAGAGATTAGTCTTGTACAAATGAAATTTTTTAAATTGCCACTCACTAATGGGCACTAATCCCTTGCAAAACTTCTGTTATGATCATTCATGGTAACTTTTCAATATAAATAACCCCCACACTGGAATTCATCACAAACACTCACATGTGTCTTTCTCAGAGGCCCAGGGCTGGAAATGGTGAGGCAGCTTCCCAATCACCTACTGCTTTCAGAGGTCCTGGCGTTACAGTATAACCAGATTGTCAAGGTTCACCTGGAGGATTACCTGCTAAATCACAAGTTTAAAGAAAACAATTTGGAGTTACCCAAGAGGAAACAACACACTTACTTATCTCCAGACTCTCCACACAGACTGTATTAAATTTTCCATAACCAAATTTACTGCAGGGCTGAGAAAAAGCATGAGATATTTTTGCTGAAAGTTTTTGATATTTGAAACTGCCTTTTAAAAAGAAGCTTAAAGGATACGTGCAATTCCCTATCTCTTTGGCAAAAGTTGTTTCCTTCCATGTGGGAAAATTACTTGGTCATCTAATTGTTCCAGAGTACAACATAAAAATAAGTTTAAAACATAGGACCTAAGCTAACGAACACACCTTTCACTGTCAGCATGTTGTAAACAATTCATTGGATATCATCCAGCTGTTCCAAAGTCCTTTGAGTATTAATGTCTGTGCTATTTTAAAAATCACTAAACAATAAAAACTCAGATTAATAGAGGGAAAATGAAATGAAAGCAGGCATCAACGCTGCTTTCTTCATTTCTAAACTCTATCCATTTGAGTATAGCAATCCTGGAGCCCAGCAAGTAACGAACTCTCGGAGAACTGTTTAGCATTTACAAACACTGGATAGTCACCACATTAGGTGTATGACACCGGAATTTAGAAAACAAGTAGGATTCAGCCAAATAGATTTGTTGTAGTCAACATTCACAGATGCTCAAAAAATAAGCATGTTTTGTTTGAAAAGGGCACCTCAATTCCCATCCCTGCCCATCGAGGAAAAGGGAAAATATATGAGGATATCAACTGTGAGATGTCAGCATACTAAGGAGGGCCTACACCTTGTGTCTCTTGATATGAAAGGGAAAAATCTCGGTGAGTGCTATTTGAAAGTCCATCTGCCACAGAGCTATCCTACACTTTCCTGTGTTCTATAAAGCTGCTCTGAGGGGAGGCTCAGAGGACTGAAGCCCTATCTCAATACATCGCCCATCACCACCCACAGCTGTTCACAGGAGAGCCAGAGAGAATTGGATGTACTAAAGAAAATGAATTTGGAAATAAAAAAGAAGGGCTTCAGAATTTAAACAAGAAAAGGAAAAGAACTGAAGCAAATGATACGGTTACCTGATCCCACGAGACAAGCCGGCGTGAATGAATATTAGAAGATTTTTCGCTAAGCCTAAACATAACTATGAAATATAAAAAGGATCTAGATCTTTTGTTGTCGCTATCAAAGGGGGGGAATGAGCTCCTCCAGAGTGACAGTGCTAGAGGCAGATAATGAAAGCTTGAAATTGAAACGGTGATAAACTCTATGTATAAGTCTGCAGATGAGATGAATATTTATTAGAGTTACATTTTGAATTCTTCCAAAGAGTACATAGTATCTTAAAGAATAATTTTGAAAGCCCTCCTCTCTTTATTTCTGAAGAAAAAGAAGGGGGAGGCAAAAAAAAAAGATGTAATCTATGTGGATGTATCTGAACTCATGAATGACAATACTCACAATATCTTAACATGTTTCTTAAACCAAAGAACTCCCTAATCACTCCCCAGATTTGACAAGCTGACAGCAAACTATAAACAGGATCATTTCACACATAACGATACCACGGCCACCTCTAAGGGGAAAGCGAGCAGCATTACACAGTTTAAAAGCACATTTGAAAAGGAAAAGTGCAACCAAACTTCCCAGAGTATATGAGTGAACATCACAAGATTAATAATGTGTGAAATTTAGTCAAAACCCTGCTGCCCATAGCAGGTATGTCTGCTTTCCTTAGACTGTTAAGATGACTGGAAACTTTTCAAGGCAGGATACTGTTGTTTGAAATGGATTCTGCTTTAAAAAGATGGTTCTGATATATCACTACACAGTTTCAAAAGTAAATGGGCACCCAGGTGCAACTAGGGCTCTCAGGAAGACACATTTCAATACCGACCTGGTCAAGCGCAAAACTGTGGAAAACCCATTGAGGTTTGATGTGATGGTCGTCTTAGGGAAAAAAAAAAAAAGAAGAAGAAGAAGAAGAAAAAGATAGGAAAAAAGGAAGAAACAAAAATAAATCTTTTTTCATTGGACCCATGAGACAGTGGCCTTTCTGATCTTGTAATCAGTAGAATACTTATAACATATAAATCTCTCCTTTTAGAACAATGATAATTCAAACTAATATTTGCAGATCATAAAGTGCAGTGATTTGAGATTATGTAAAAAATATCTACTTAGTACCTAATATCCAAAACTTTCATTTGTTTTCTCTTAATCATCTGGATAATTTGATAAAAACTTTGCCCTCTTCTACTGCATCTCTATAGATAAATCTGACGGCATAAAGTTGGTTCTTTTTTTATTGTTTCTCCTCTACAATTTTATATAAATCTATCATCCTACTTTTCAGAACAGAGACATCAAAATCTATTGTAAATTTAATAATACAAAATAACGATAGAAGAATATCAAAAAGGCAAAGTACATTTTGTTTCTTTCCTTTCCTTTACCCCTCCCCACAAAAAAGAAAAAAAAAAAAACTTGTCTTTTTTTGAGCTTTTAATTAGTTAATCTCTCAAACAGGTAAGTCAATGCTGTTAAGTGCTGCTCCGGTTTAAAATAATTACCTGAAAATGAGTGCCTGGGGTTGGATTAACTACTGCCTCATCAGTATTCATCACTATCACTATAGCATGAAAAGAATGAAAAGTAAAGTGAAGAGAAGAAAATAAAACCATGAAAACAAAGAGTACACAATTTTTAAAAAATCTCCACATTGATCTCACCCCAGGCAATATTTCACTGTACCCCTTGTGATTGTCACCTATCAGCCACATTCTCAAAACACATACTCATTTGCCACAAATTTTGTATTTGTTTCTATTTCTCATGCAGAGACTCTCACACTTAGGGGCACCAGAACTACCTGGGGAACTTATTAAAGGTTAAGATTCCTGGGCTGGCAGATGGCATAGTGGTTACATTGCTGGATTCCCACATGGCCAGCCATGGTTCTAGTCCTGGATCTGATGGCTTGAAAAAAGCCAGACACATGTGTGTGCAGGCCCAATATCCCAGGAGGAGCGTGGAGGAAAAGGGATTATAATGTGGCCATGCCCCTGGAGGGTGATTTCTCACTTCCCCTCTCACTATCTCGATTTCTGTCTCTCTCTCTCTCTCCAGCGAGTGCATGTGCCCTAAGCCAAAAAACCCTCTATAACTTTTTTCTTTAAAAAAAGTTCAGATTCCCAGGACCAGCAGGTGGCTTGGTGGTTAAGGCGCTGGACACTCCTACATGGCTGACCACGGTTTGAGTCAGCCGCTGGTGGGTTGCTTTCTCACTTTCCCTCTGTCTCTCTCTCTGTGTCTCTCTCTGGTCAAATAAAAATAAAACGAATGAATAAATAAAATTAAAATAGATAATTCTTTAAAAAAGAAAAAAATAAAGTTAAGATTCCCAAGACTCAAAAGATTCTGATGCAGCAGGTATGGTTTAAGGTCAAGAAATTTCCATTCCAGACTGATTCTCATGTAAAGAGTCTATGGATCATAGGTGGAGAAATACTACCCAAGACTCAGTGTCCTATGTCCTTTTCTACATACCGGAAGAAGAAAAGAGATCCCTGCCTCATACCTTACACTCCACAACTTCATCTCACTGGTGACTTTATGAATGAGGCCGTTGCCATTAATCAATCACCTGGCCTATGCTAAAGCTTCTAGTGACAGGTCCTTGGTATCTCCAGAAGTAATTCATCCTATCATTTTTTTTTTTTGAGAGGTTTTTGCTATAGGGCACATGCGCTTGCCAGAAAGACAGAGAGAGACAGAGAGACAGAGAGCAAGAAATCGCCCCCCAGGGGGGATGGCCATGCTGCAATCCCTTCTCCTCCATTCTCCTCTCGGGATCTTGGGCACGCACGCACACATGCCCAACATGATTTTTTTTTTTTTCCAACATGATTTTAAGCTGCCGGGTCCGCTACTCGAACAACAGTCAACTACATGGGAGTCCAGTGACATAGCCTTTATGCTAACTGCTGGTCCTAATTCATCCTATCATTGAGCAACTTTGTTTCCTTCTTCCTGCATCTAATAAAGGTCTTTGTTCTAACCTTTGGAACCATTCGGAAACAGCTATTTTGCTCCAATAAGCTCTCATGCTGACAGTGAAGGCATGGGATGTATGGTCCTACCCAAGGGATGCTAGACGAAAAAGCGAGTTTAAAGGTTTATAAATTGTTGGCTGTGTAGGCAGAAAATTGGATTATAATAATTGAATTTTGGAAGTTACATAATAGTGACTTTAAAATCAAATTCATTATAAATAAAAAATCATAATCCATACCCTGATGGTTTGGGATTAGCTACTAAGAAAAGAAGAATGTCCTGATGATGAACTAGAAGTAGTTAAATGGTAATTTAGTTATTAGGTTATAGACTTTCCCCAGAGAGGAAAAATAATGGCGAAAATAATTCAAAACCCTAATCTGAACTGAATTGTTACACCTCTCCCATCTATTTGTGAATCAGAAATCTATTCCAAGATTGTACTGCAATAGCAAATCCTTCTCTTGTTTAGAAACTATTTAATACAATGGGTTTTCTTTATTCACAGCACAAAGAGACACCAAATGGCAAAGAATTCTGTAGTTGTATCTATTGCTATCAAAAGTACCAAGAAATAATGATTCATAAATATTAATAATTGTGGCTAAGTAAACATTTCATCAGACCAATTACTACAAATGTGAATGTATGAAGAATCTTCGTTTACCATAGTAAACTTTATACTAGCCCCTAGTGAACAATATTTAATTTTTTAGATGCTAATACATGTTATTTTAGCAATTTTTACTGCCATCTTCTCTATATTATTAACTTCACAGAATACTATTTACGGTGTAATGTAACCCAAAAGAGAAGGCTAGAGTTACCACTTTGCAGTTGCCACAATATGTTCAAGCAAATGTTAATTAAGAGTTACTCATAATTGCTTCCTGAGATTTTGAATTAAATTCCCAGAGGTAACTATTCCAATTGTTAATACTACTCAGATTCAATCTTCCACATCATCAATATTTTGAAATAAAAGATAGGAAAACAGAGATAATCCAGTGAA